ACCTGCCCAAAGGTCACTGGACAGGTAAGAGGTGGGAGAGGAGGGGCGGTGGACCCGAGGGAAAGTGCACATGCTGAAGGATGGAGTGAAAGTGCCGGAGACTGGCAGAACAGACCCTCAAGCCTCTGCCCCTCCTGATCTCAGCCCCTGCCCACCCTGGGCAGAGCCCCACTGCCCAGCGACTTTAGCCTCACATCAGTGGACACTCAGGCCACAGGCATTTCTTTGCTGTCTCACTGCTTTGTAAAGCTGCAGTGGACTATCGAAAAACAAAGTGGCGGACTGTGGAGGGAGGAGCTGCGTTGCTGGTTTAGGGTGATGGGGATCCACCGGGACCAGTGTGTGTTTGTTTTCTATTTCTGCCAGAGAGGAGGCAGCCCTGACCAGACCAGCTGGACCCAGACCAGACGTGGGGGTCCCTGGAGGGGAGGGGAAGCGTGCCCTCACAGTAGCTACCTTGGCAGGCTGAGGAGCCAAGTCCCCGAACTGTGTGCTGGTTCCTGGAGGAAGTGTGTGTTGGTGTGGCCATTTTCCGGTGGCTCCACTGGCCGCAGGCTGGGGTCCTGCAGCCTTCCCTCCCTGACCCCCTGAATCCGAGATTTCTCCTGGTGGGGTAGGATGAGTGTATTGTTCTGTCATCTGTGTCAGGACTTCAGAGATGAGGGCACCGCAGACAGGAGCGGATGACGAGGATACTGTATCACTGCCATTGTTATTCTCCCTGGGGTTCAGACACTGAGAAGGTTTTCTATAAAGCTTTGGGTGGGAGAACCCCTGCAGAAGTGTGTGTGTGTGTGTGTGGTGTCCTACTGATCCCAGGCTGCTGTCTTCTGGAGGAGTGTGAACTGCCCACAGGGCTCAGTGTGGTTCAGAAAAGAGGGGGGTTTCCTCTCGATGACTGACAACCCGGACCTGTTTGGCTGGGCCCACACTTGAGTAGGGCAGATTGTACTTGTAGCACTTCCTGGTGAGACCACTAGGGTGTGCTGTTAGCTGGAGTGGGTTTTTGTCAGGGCTTCCAATTGGTTTCTTGTCTGACCCGTCTCCTCTCTCTCCTCGATAGACAGAATCTGGCCCTACTTTTTAATAAGAGTCTGATGGATACAGTATATCCGGTGTGTAAATGCACAGCCACAGCAAGGGGGTCCAGCTGGTGGAAGCCCTGGTTTGGTGAAGAGGACTTTACTTTTCAGCTGCCCTGCAGCCAGGGGAGGACGCCCTGCACGCTCGCTGCTGCCTCTGTCCTCTGGGACTCTTGTTGCTTTGTCTCTCCTTAGCACTTTCCACGTCACGTTAGGACACAGGCCCCATTGCCTCGGTGCCAGGGAGTTTGGTCTTAAAAGGGCAGATGTGATGCTGTGTTTCCATGTGTTTTTGTTTGTTTGACAAGTGGGCGCCCTAGCAATCGCAGCACTGCCAGGAGGACCTGCAGAGGGGCGAGAGGCTGCAGCGGCCAGGAGGTGAGGGCGCTTTGTCTAGGCTAAGACTTTGGAAGGCAGTGCAAACGTGGCTTTTCCTTTTCATCTGATCACAGCCCCCCCACCCCCACCCCCGCCCCCGGTAACTCATTACCGAGGAGTCATGTGCCTCACTTAAGGAGAAGGCTGTGGTGATGAGGAGGACCTGTTCCCCTTGAGTTTGGAATTCAAGCAAGTGCTTTAGTGCTTGGCTTCAGGGCCTGCCTAAGGAGAAAATGCTTGCTGGAGTGCAGAAGCTCACCCAGCCAGTCTTGATTCAAACCCCAGGCGAGGCTCTCTGCTTCCATACAGACTTACCGTCTCCGGAGCCCTGGGGTCAGTGTGAGTCAGAAGCAACTTGCTGGCCAGTAGGTTGTTTTACTTATTTATGTATTTATTGGGAGGCGGGGCGCGTTGTGGGTTGCAATGGAGAAGATTCTGACTCTGGGCGACCCCGATGTGGTGCTGAGCAGAGCTGATCCACAGGGTGCGCTCTTTCTGAAGCATCGCCCGCCCGGCCGGTCTTCCTAGGCACTGCCTGCTGGGTTCACAGTACCAATCTTTCAGCCAGGAGTTGAGCTCACCCAGGGATTAAGTAGAACGTCGTTTTCCTGGTGTGTTTGACTCCAGTGGTTCCCAACCTTCCTCATGCTGCGACCCTTTCATACAGTTCCTCATGTGGTGGTGACCCCCCAACCATTAAATTATTTTCGTTGCTACTTCATCACTGTCATTTTGCTACTGTTATGAATCGGGCAGCCCCTGTGAAAGGGTCGTTCTACCCCCAAAGGGGTGCCACCCCCAAGCTGAGAACCGCTGGCCTAATCAATGGCAGCCGGGTTGTTGCCAATCACAGGCTCAGAGGAGCAGGGTTTTACAATGACCATGGGATACAATCGTGCCCCTAAGAAGGCAGGTTTTGCAAGGTAAGGTTAGGCCATTAGACCACCACCATCCCCTGAAGCTTCGTGGACTCTTGCTTATCTAAATTGGGGTTGCTTCTAGTCTTACCAAATCACCACCCCTGAGGCCTCTGAAGGTGGGTGGGGGGCAGGGGGATACTTTATACTTGGCTACTTATCTCTTCCTGAGTTAGAACATCCCTGCTGATGAATCAGCTTAAAAGGAATTTTAATAGCAAAGGAGAGAGGGCTGTTATATTTTGGAATTTTGGCAAACGGAATCTTAGATTGTTATATTTCTAGTGTTTTGATGAATAGCATCTTACCCTTCTACCCCCGCTAGCGTTATTTAAGGAGCCTTGGTTGGCATAGTGGTTACACATTGGCTTAACCTCCAGGTTAGCAGTTTGAAACCGCCACCCTCTCTCAGGGAGAAAGTTGGGGCTTTCTACTCCTGTAAACAGAGTCTCAGAAACCTACTGGGGTAGGTCTACCCGTCCTCGAGGGTCACGAGGAGCCGGCATCGGCTTGATGGCAGTGAGCTTGGTCTTGGGAAACATTATTGGAAGAGCCTGGCGGCGTGGTGTCTGTGTTGGCGGCTCACTGCAAGGTCAGCAGTTTAAAATCACCTGCTTCTCCTTAGGAAAAAAAATGAGGCCTTTTACTCCCATAAAGAGTTAAAGCCTCAGAAACCCACCTACAGCCTCAGAAACGGTCCTACCCTGCTCTGGAGGCATGGAATGGTGGCAGTGAGTTTGGTTTTTGGCATTATTACAAGATTCCTGGTGATGGTACAGCAGAAACGCGGGGCTTTCTACTCCCATAAAGATGTACAGGCCTGCAAGCTACAGGGTGGTTCTGGTGTCCTGCAGTTGTTGAGCCTCAGCGTTTCTTAGAAGAGCACTTTGGTGGGTGGGGTGGGAGAGAGGGTCAGTCTCCCCTGGATGGAGTTCACACATTTGTGAGACTCTCTTGGGAGAAGCAGTGTCTAGGCTAATACCAGACCCCCTGTTAGTTAAGAGAAGCTCCTGGGTCTGGGATGGGAAGATGCTGGTAGACCGAGTCTCTGTTCTCTGGGTGGAGGATAAGCAAGGAGCGTTAGGAAGGGGACAGGCATTTGGATTTCTGAATGAATGAGTAGCTGTGTCTGACGGTGAGAGATCTGGACAGCAGATTGAAATAGACTTTATCACTGCCAGGAAAACCTCGTGGCCCTTGAGCCCATTCAAACTCGGGAACCCTAAAGGACAGGGCAGAACTGGCCCCGAGGGCCTCCAAGTGGATAAATCCTGTTTTAAAAATCATTTCATTAGGGGCTCATACAACTCTGATCACAATCCATACCCACATCAATTGTGTAAAGCACATTTGTACATCTATTGCCCTCATCATCCTCAAAACATTTGCTGTCCACGTAAGCCCCTGGCATCAGCTCCTCATTTTCCCCATTCCCTCCCTACTCCCCCGTGGCTAAATCTTTATGGGAGTAGAAAACCTCATCTTTCTCCCAAGGAGCAGCTGGGTGGCTAGCAGCCCTGAGTTTAGCTCACGCCACCACAAGGGCTCCTAAAGCCGTCAAGACAGTAAGCTGTGCTTCCAAAAACAAAAAAACGCTCAACTTCTTCATCTATTCTGGGCCTCAGTAGCTGAGGGTCTGCCTAGGCCTCGAGTCAAATTTGATGTCCCTTGTCACATTTAAGAATTGGAATATACTTGCATATGGTGAAGGTCTTTATAAAAGATCTTGGTCTGTTTTCTAAAGGACAACATGCAGGTGGGTGGGGGTACAGATGCAGTCAAGATTTGAGTCTCGTTTACTAAACTTGTTTCCTTTAAAATAGCCTGAACCTCAGTCTTGGGGAATGGCCCAGCCTTAGGGTCTGCCCGCATTTACCCTGCGTGGAGAAGTGCGCACATTTCTCCTCTCAGGAGGCTCAAGCCCAGTCACGGGGCTTAGGGACCTTCCACTTCTACTTCCTCTAATCTCAGCATGTGAATGAGCTTTTGTGTCGCCCAGTGCAACCTTCCTGCTTTTAATTGTTTGGGTTTGAGAGAAGTTGGGCTACGGTGGGGCCTGAAGGAGGGAGAACTGAGGGGTGCGCATTTCTTCCAAGTTGTTGCCCTGTCCTCAGCTAATTTGCTTACGGACAGATTCCCCAGGAGCCGGGCTCCCAGTCCGTTAGTCCGTCCGAGCACAGAGCACAGAGCTGACAAAGGAGATTCCTGAGAGACCGCCTTCTTATCGCAGAAAACGCTGAGCCCAGAGCTCCTCACTGCCCCTTCTTGCAGATGTGAAGGGCCAGTGAACCTTAGACCCAGACAGTTGCTTAGCAAGCCCCTCCTCTCTTCCCTCACTCTCCGCCCTCCCTTCGCTTCTTGACTTAAATCCATAAGCATTTTCAGGGCCTTCCCTTTTACTGCTGAAAGTGGGAGGAGCAGGCAGGCCACAGTTCCTCCTGGGACCAGAGGGCTTTTCTCCCAGACTACCTCAGCAGCCACCTCTGTTGCCACCGGAATCTGCTTACACCCCGGCTGAGGAGTGAGTGTACACCCTACCCTCTTCCCTCATCACCAAGCTGCCCTGCCGCTTTGTCGCCTGACAGGGCCCCTTCACCTGCTCTGCCTGTTGCTCCAAGATCTGTCCAGCTGCTCGCTCATCCTCCCCTCCCCTCAGCTGTCTCCTGCCTTAGCTTCTTCTGGCACAGGTTGCTTCAGCCAGCTCCTTGCTTGGGTTTTGGGTGGCATCTTCCCGGTAGCAGCACTTGGGAGGGGAGCAGGCACCAGCTGCCTCCAGTCATCTCCAGGGTCAGCTGTGCCTTGGATCACCGCTCTTCTCATTCACATGTTTTCGCGTGATGCAATTATACCGACCCGGCCGGCCGCTGGCTGGAGGGCTGGAGTCCTTGGGAAAGGAAAAGAGGAGAGCTCCCTGTGTGCTCGGGTGGGGGATAGGGCTTGGCTGGGGGAGGAGACCCCAGCTGAGGGTGGGTCAGGCATGTTCCCTGAGCCAGGACATGCTGTGCTTTGGGGCAGGTGATCCCCTGAGGAGGCCTCTAGGTCTGCCAGGGCTAGAATCTTTGGAAAAGAGCAGACCCCAGGCTGTTGTCAGGCTGGTTCCTGACGTTACCTTTCAGCACACGTGACAGGTGAGATTGAAATTGGAAAGAAGACAAGACTTTTTTTGGGGGGGGGGCGGGCGGCATTGAAAACTAGGATTCAAACCAGGATGGTTACATCTGGGAGCTGCCAAACTGTGCCCCGTCCCTGTCCTGTATCGCAGCAGGTTCAGATAGGAGCAGGACTTAGGGGGGGCCTAGCACCGGCAGGCCTAATGATGAGAGACAGACGCTGGCTCTTTGGGAAGTGGGGACCTCCCTTGAAAATTCAAGTTTTGACGATTGAGCCGGAGACAAAAGGTTAGAGGGAGGAGGGAGGCAAGAGAGAATGGCCTTTGAAACGACAGGTTGGGGCTGGGTACCCCTTCTGGGCTCTCTGGAGAAGGGGTTCTACGTCACTGCCAATAACACCCTGCCTTTTCCTTAGAGGGCGATGCCAGGGAGCTGGTGAAGTTGTTCTTTCTTGGTCCACCATGGCCGACAGTGCTAAGTATGAAGTGGCCCCCCAGCACAATGGGGATAGCCCCTCTCTGGCTGAGAGGGCCAGCCCTGAGCCGGAGCAGGTGAAGCTGAAGAAGGAGATCTCGCTGCTGAATGGCGTGTGCCTGATCGTGGGAAACATGATCGGCTCGGGCATCTTTGTCTCTCCCAAAGGGGTGCTCATGTACAGTGCTTCCTTTGGCCTCTCCCTGGTCATCTGGGCGATCGGGGGCATCTTCTCCGTCTTTGGGGCCCTGTGCTATGCCGAACTGGGCACCACCATTAAGAAGTCCGGGGCCAGCTATGCCTACATCTTTGAGGCCTTCGGGGGATTCCTCGCCTTCATCCGGCTCTGGACCTCCCTCCTCCTCATCGAGCCCACCAGCCAGGCCATCATCGCCATCACCTTTGCCAACTACATGGTGCAGCCCCTCTTCCCGACTTGCTTGGCCCCCTACGTTGCTGTCCGCCTGCTGGCTGCTGCGTGCATCTGTAAGTTGGGCTTGGGGGCGAGGGCCTTGGGGTGGGGGTGGGAATGTTAAATCGGGGAGCAAGGAGATGGGAAGGCATGCCCCTTGACAGCACCTTAAAAAAAAAGATCCTTATTTAATGAATGTGTGCTCTGTGTGTAAATTCAAGCAGTGTCAAAACGGACCGGCCTTCTATCAAAGGAGAAGGCTGTGGGCACCGTCCTGTCCATTCCCTCCGTTTTGCTTTGTGTTTCATCCCAAACCAAACAAAACCCAGAAGCAACAGGCTCTTCCTAACACAGCGTGAGAAACACCAGGAGTAGAAGGTGCGCCCCGTCCTGATTTTCACTTATTCTCTCGCCCAGAGGGGTTGTTTGCTGTGCTGCCGATTTCAAAACTGGGATCCGCCTTTGCATAGATTTCTGCAACTTGCCGGCCACCTCTTCCCCAGCATTTATCAGCGACATTCTTTTCTATAAATAGATGAACAAAGGTTCTTTTGAGTGCTTCGGGCTATTCCACGTTCATCAAGCCCCTGGCAGTGCCATCAGTCTGGAGGCCCAGGGATGTCGTTGCTAAAGTGCTTGCTTGCTGACCAAATGGCCACCAGCCTGAACTCCTCAGCCATCCATTGGAGTCTGCGGCCCATTAAGATTTACAGCCTGCACACCCGCAGGGGCAGTTCTGCTGTCTTGTTCTCCGACTCAGAACCGTCTTGCCGGCAGTGGCCTGGGGTTTTTGTTCCTGTGGTTTCTTTAGCCAGTCCTCTGGTAATGGTCCTTAGGTTGGTTCCAGGTCTACAGGGACTTCACAAACTTTTGTGGGAAAATGGGATGAAAAGATGGTGTGTTTTTTTCCCGTGATCTTTTTGAAGCGCTCTCGTGTAAAGCATCATTGAATACCCTTATTTTAAGGATAAGAAGTGGAGATGCGGTCTTTCTGAAGACTAGAATTTTTAAAACTCATTTCGATCCACCTTAACTTCCCCCTCCACCATTTATTTAAATCTGCATGTTTAGCAAAGCCGTGTTGAATGTATTGAATGTAGAGTGTATAATCCATGATGATCCCATCCCTCAGGTGCATCTATCCTTAAGAAATCCCCTCCCCGCCTGGGAGAGACTGGAACCTGGGTGATTCCTCCCCCACCCTAAACTGTGGAGAAGCTCCGAAATCCTTAGCTGCAGGGCTTGCCCCTCATGCCCCAGTCGCGGCAGTAGTGGGTACATGGATCTTGGACCACGTTCAGTTACTCACTGGCTCCCCAACGAATCAGTCTTATGTCCTTTTCTTTCAGTTTCTCCCTAACTCCATTTCATTCCTCAGTTTCCTCTTTGGCATTCCTGTTTTTACTGTTGCCCAGAGAGCTGTCTGTCCTCTTGTGGTTTGTGTGTGGCTTGGACCCATCTCCTAATGGGGTACTCCGTCTCACATGGCAACCACCGGGGAGGGATGGAAGGCACTGCTTATCTTGCATGAAGAGGGTTTCCCCTCTGAGGTCTTAAATGTGAGCTGTACTCTCTTTTGCATCATTTAAGATGATCTGGGAGGTTGGCCTACCGGAGAAACGTATTTTAGGATCTGTTGGTCTGCCCCATCCCCAATGCTGCTTAGATAGTAGAAAGTAAGGATTATTCCCCTTGAGTAAATTTTCCGGAAGGGTGCCGCTCATGAAAACTCAGTAGAATTTTATTATCTGAGCCCCGCTGTTGGAAGTCTCTGTCAAACCCATGACACACTGCTTGCCGTCATCCCTGGACTTATTTTGATGACTCAGGGTGACCGGTGCGTGTCTCCGTTCTGGACACGACAGCGAGGTCTTCCCAGGCCACCGGGCTAGGAAAGAGTGCTTGCTTCCTTATTCCGTGGCCTCCGGCTGCTGGCCTGCCTTAGTTTTCTTCAGGTTTAATTCTTGCGTGGTTTCGTGTCATTCCTGACAGCTGCTGTCACTTGGATCTGGCACTGTGTCTACCTCCCTCCCTCCCTGTCCCCCTTCTCCTTTGCCGCTTCTAATTTGGGAATAGAGACGTACTCAAACCTCTGTACACCCACATCGCATACACACACACACCCACACCCACCCACCCCCGTAAGGGTACTTGCAAAGCCTCGGCTTTGCAGGATTCATGTGAAGCGTTGATGGCATGACTTTTTTTGTGCCTGGGTCTTTAGCATAGGTTGGAGGCAACTTTGGTAGAGGGAAACGAGGAACAGACTTATGTTTAAGGCGGGCTCAGCGGCTGTACCAGGTGCGGTAGCAGTTTACTTTAAGGCTACTGTGAGAATGGAATGAGAAAACCCTACGTCTTGATTCAGGTGTAAGGTATCGATGATTCTCGTGGTTAAAATTCTCTCGTGGCTGCTCGTAGGCCTCTTCCTTGTCCCGCTTCTTGGCTCTCTCCTGGGTCGTTACAGCTAGATGAATCAGATATGACTGCATAGGTATTATCTGGACTTTGTTCCTTCTTTAATTACTTAATAAGAAGGATGTGAAGATCTGGGAGAAAGTTCAAAGGGCAGTCAAGATTGTGAGAATTTGGGGAAATGCGATTCTTGGATTTACTCTTCAGCTGTTGTTCTGTGAACAGTCAGCTGCTCGGACCTGTGAGGCTGTGCTGTGGAGCCTAAAGGAGGACTTAGGCGTAATCTTCAGATTTAGCAAAGGAAGGGCTCCCATTAACTTATTCTTTATTCATCCAAGAGCATTCATTCAGGGTGTGCTTTGGGCTAGGTATTTTGGAATTCCTGTGAGGTACAGGTTTGAGCATGGGTCCCGGATCTCCTGTCACTGTTTTAGCCCAAGACAGAGGCCAGGTTGATTCAAGAAACTGAGTTTATTCTGCGAGCGTGAGACAGAAAGAAACTGAGATTTGCTACCTCCAAACTGCTTTGAAAATCCAGTGAAAATTTAAGCAAGTGATATCCCTCCAAAAGCAGGTTTTTCACTGATCACAGGGAACAAGTATCCCCCGAAAGTGCTTATATAAATGGGGGCTGATTGTTGGCTCAGGCCAGGTTGACTAGAGAAACAAATCCAGTGACACTTTTCTATGTATAGAAAGACTTTTATACCCAGAAGTAATTATAAATCAAGAAAGCATCCCAGCCCAGTCCCACTCAAGCCCATTAAATCCGATACTAGTCCATCAGTCCCTCTTCAGGCTCACTCAGTCCCATGCAGTGATGCAGAATGCAGGACGGATGATCACAGGCTGGGGGATCCGAGGCCAGTGGAAACCTGGCAGAGAGTCCCAGGGAGCAGGAAGGGGAAGGGGGAGAGAGAGGAGGAGGTCCCCAGGGTCCTCCTAATGAGAAGTCCACACCCCCAAGGAAGCACCATCCATCCGGCTGTGAGCTGATTGAGAGGCTGGGTTCCCCTACAGCCATTGTCAAGTTGACAAGACCCTCTACACAGCTGCCCGTCTTAATGGCCTTGCTCATCACCTTCCTGAGTCAGAAGCCCATCCCTCCCTCCCAATGAAGCTTAAAAGGACTGTTTGCTGCAAGGGAAGGGAGTGGCTACATTTTAGATTTTCAATAGCTAAGTCTTAAATTACGTTCTCTTTCTAGCATTTTGGTTAACAGCAGGGTCCCTCGTTCATCTCCTCTGTCACTTGCAGTCCACCCAGAGGCATCTCTGAAGACAGGCCTGGTAATCTACCTCTGAAGGCCAGCCTGGTTCTACTCTGACACACCTGGGGTCACCCTGAGTCGGGGAGGGCTTGACTGACAACTTGAAAACATTGTTTTAAAACAGTGCTAGATATTTATTTCATGCTGGGCTGGGAAACAGACGCATAAAGCATGGCCCCTGCTATCCGAGGACTCTCACGGTGGTTGGAAGACGGAAGGTGGCGGTGTTAGGGATGGTCAGTTCCGACTCCCAGGGACCCGTGTACAAGAGAACGAAACCGCACCAGGTCCTGTGCCGTCCTCACGATGGTTCCTATATTTGAGCGCATTGTTGCCGCTGCTGTGTCAATCCATCCCTTCGAAGGCCGGTTGTCAGAAGGTAGAGTAATTGCAATGACAGAGATCCCGTAAAAGCAGGTGGGACAATTTCCTTTTTTGTGGAAAGGAGGTCTTAGGAAGAATTGACAGAGAAGGTGATGTTGGAACTGGCGTTTGAAAACAAGGGCCTGTCTGAAGGCAGGAAGCGCGCGCATGCAAAGGGGTGAGGTATGAGGAGGCCCAGACTGTTGAGAGCAGTGGTTCTCAACCTTCCTAATGCTGTGACCCTTTAATACAGTTCCTCATGTGGTGGTGCCCCCAACCATAAAATTATTTTCGTGGCTACTTCATAGCTTTCATTTTGCTACTGTGATGAATTGGGTGACCCCTGTGAAAGGGTCCTTTGACCTCCACAGGGGTTGAGAACTGCTGGTTTAACGTGGAGTGGTGGTGGGGTGGAAAGGAGCGGTAGCAGACACCGGAAATAGCCCAGGGCCAGCACAAGCAGGGTTTTAGATGGTGCACAAACTGGCTCGACCTTATCCAATCTACAAGGTGGTAGGGACGCTACTGATGTTAGGCTTGGGACGGAAATGGTCAGATTTACTTAGAAGGACTCTGTCGTATGGAGAGGGTTTTTGGAAAGCGTGAGAGCCAGGAACAGTGAGACTGAAACCCGAGTCTGGGAAGCGTGGGAAAGACCCGAGCTGTGGGAATGGCCTTTGAGTGGAGACGAGGGATCCATTAAAAACAAACAGAACAGGCATCAGCTGCAAAGTAGGGTTTCTGGAAGCGGAGGGTGTGGGAGCTCTCAGAAGGGGTTCTGGGCAGATAGGTGGGTGTCATGGGCCTGAGTGAGGGGCTGGGGGGTAGCTGTTGATGTGGTCTTTGTGAGAGCAGTGCTCTTGGGTCACCAGGTTGGTCCTGTTTCCCACCAGCTGAGTCACAGCTCAAAGGCCATGCGCCCACAGTGATACCAATCTACTTCTCTTCCGTGGTGGATGTGTGTGTGCATTTCCTAGTGAGCCGAATGCAGGTATCCGCTATCAGATCACTCCTTTCCCAGGACTA